TGAAATTGGACTGTGCATCATAAGCACATCATGCAGTAGTCTGTACAAGCGTTGAATTTACAAATACTCTATCCACTTTGGTGGATAAAATATAGTACACTTTTTAGCCAGAGCAATCACATTAATTGACATGTAATCCACATATGAGACAACAAAGCTATATATTAAACCTAAAACAGTATCTTAGTTGTTTAGATTTCTGCTTGCATGCATACAAACATAATCTTTACAGACTGAGCAATGTTGGATTAAGAAGTATTTTTTTCCAGAGGTACAGTATTTTGTGTGTCCAGCCAGGGGAAACAGAGTTTCATAAATGTGGGTAGCCACATGCCTCATTTGTTTGTAAAGTGGGAGTACTTGGTTGACTGGCCTTATACAATAATTGAGGGTAAGATGATTTCCAAGTAATAACTTTTCTTTGCTTAAGAAAGGTGAAGAATGATTTTAGCGCCGTTAGGCATGTCATATGAAAGTCATATGAAAATATTTTCCTGCAGGCATTTAGGAAAAGTAAATTTTTTTAATAAATTTTAGGGTATATAATATTTACAGTGCAAAATATTTTAATTCAGTTTATCTTTAAAGAATAGAACAGAAGTGATCTTTGTTCCCAGTATATTTTGTAAGGCATCCTCGAACAGATCTGCTAGATCCCCTTGCCAATGTGCTTTTTGTTATAGCATGTATGTTCATTTTAGAATGCAACAAAACTGAGTAATATGTTGACATCCGCTTTTGGTGCCCTGGCTGGAGAAGTAATTTCTCCAATTTAGAAGTGCTAACATTAACTCCAGCAGTGGCATGTCTAATTTGTAAGTCACAAAATTATGCAGGGTTGGGTATCGCGTAATCTCTTTGAAAGTATAAGAAGAATTGAAAGGTTACTGCAGAATGCTAATGACATGAATAATTGTGAACTTACTGTATGTAAAGTGTAGTTTCCCTATGAAAAACAATAAGGGATAAAATGTTTATTTCCACTGATACTAATGTATTTAACCATTTGTGGACATTAGGTGCACTACATACACCCCTAAGCATGCCCTGTCGGTCACCCCTTGCTTGTGATCATTCCACAGTTTTTTACCTATAATTGCCAGCTGTCAAAATTACAGCTGGGACTTACTGTGTAACACTGTGAGAACTTTTTAGAAGTGTGACTCAGAGATACAAAGCAACTTTAAATAAAGTTTAAAAAATTGAATAAAATGTATTCATATTTAACGCTTAACAGCTAGTTCTCTCCAATCAACCCTAATTAATTCCTTCCCTCGCTAACTTTCCTTAGCCTTTTTTTCTTTTATTTTCTAAAACATTAATATTTTGCTTTTTTACTTATTTGCTTTAATAATTTTTAGTGTTGAATTTAAAAGATATGCAAAAGCTGAGTGTGCTTATGAGCCAGGTGGCTTTGCATTTTCCAGATGATGGATTTCTGTGGAAGTTAGAGAAGTTCCCCTGTGTGGGAAATCATTTGTTTGTGAACTTTTGCTTTCTTTTAAATAAAAGTGGTCTACCAAGCGCTTAAAAATAGGAAGGCTTTCCACAAGGTTTAGGAGAGTGTGTCTATGGGAATGTTTGACCATTCTTCCAGAAGCACATTTGTGAGTTTAGGCACTGATGTCAGTCAAGAAGGCCTGGCTTGCAGTCTCCACTGTAATTCTTCCCAAAGGTGTTCTATCGGATTGAGGTCAGGACTCGGTCCAGGCCAGTCAAGTTCCTCCACCCCAAACTCGCTCATGCAAGTCTTTATGGACCTTGCTTTGTGCACTGGTGCACAGTCATGTTGGAACAGGAAGAGTCCATCCCCAAACTGTTTCCACAAAGTTGGGATGCAGCTGCTTGGCCATGGAAACCCATTCCATGAGGCTCTCTACGCACTGTTGTGTTAATCTGAAGGACACACGAAGATTGGAGGCCTTTTAGCTATTGACTCTGCACACAGTTGGTGACTTCTGTGCGCTTCAGCATGCGCTGGCCCCGTTACGTGGCCTACCACTTCGTGGCTGAGTTGCTGCTGTTCCCAGTTGCTTCCACTTTGTTATAACACCACTAACAGCTGACCATGGAATATTTAGTAGCAAGGAAATTTCACGGATTGACTTATTGCACAGGTGGCAACCTATCACGGTACCACGCTTGAATTCACTGAGCTCCTGAGAGCGACCCATTCTCTCACAAATGTTTGTAGAAGCAGCCTGCATGCCTAGGTGCTTGATTTTTTACACCTGTGGCCATGGAGGTGATTGGAACATGGGAATCCAATGATTTGGAGAGGTGTTTCAATACTTTTTGCAATATAGCGTGGGTGGGGGTGTGTGTGTGTGTGTGTGTGTGTGTGTGTGTGTGTGTGTATGTGTGTGTTTGTGTTCCCATACTTTTAAATAATTTCATTGTGTTTTAGTGCACACAGTCCCTTTGGAAGTCAGAAATCCAGCCTTCTTTGTTCTGTGAGGAGCCCTCTATTCCCCTCATATCCTGTTCATAAGACCAGTGGCCTCTGTGCCCTCTATCCCCTTGCCACCGGTCTTGTACATTCCCCCCTGTAGTAAAGTGAGTGGTGAGGTGATCACCATTTCCTGCAGAGGGTGGACACAAGGGTTTCAAACTCCTGGTCTGATCCACCTACTGTGCAGCATAGGCCAGGAGTTTGATTTATTCCATACACATATTCATCCCATGCACCCCCACAGTCCCACCCATTTAGACTGTGGGTAGATTGGACCAGACGTCTGAGACTATCTAGTCCACCCACTTCATCAAGAGCTGTGTATGGGATGAATCAGACTCTTGGCTTGTCCATCTATCTATGCTGTACAGTGGGTGGATCAAACCAGGATTCTTAGACTCTCTGGTCCGCCCACTGTACAGCATAGGTAGATGGACAAGCCCGGAGTCTAATCCCATACACACCCACAAATCTGCCCACATTGCCACCTCTAAATCCCAGGGCATGATGGTATTTGTAGTCTTAGTATGTGGTGAAAAACAGTAATAGGAAGTGATGTTGCCACTTTAGAGATCCCTCTTTCTCGAAGCCAGGGATAGAGAAAATTGTGTAAAGAGATGATGTCACTGATTTTTTAAAACTGAGTTTTGTATAGGAGTATAATATGTAGAGCCTGCAACTCGTTCTCCAGATAAAAGTACTTTATTCATAAATGGTACAGTGTGCAAGTTACAAGTGGCTTATGAATTTGGTCTTTTTACCTAAACGCGTAAGCTGCTGTAACTTGTACACTGTTCCATTTATGAATAAAGTATTTTTATCGGGAGAACGAGTTGACAGCTTTTCATCTTATACTGCTATGCTGTTCAAAGTGCCAGGAAGACACTGTGAGCTTTGGAGCACCGTTGGTCTACCTCCAGGGGAATTCTACCTAGGCGTATATTTTTGTTTGTGAGTTTTGTATTCAGCTTGCAATTTTATTCCAACTCACATTCGCAGTTTTGCTTAACTAACTACACAGGGCTAATGTACAAATTGTAACACTATCCCAGAGTTGTTCGTTAACCACTTGCCTACCGGGAACTTTTTCCCCCTCCTTGCCCATGCCAATTTTTCAGCTTTCAGCGCTGTTGCACTTTGAATGACAATTGCGCGGTCATACAACACTGTACCCATAGGACATTTTTATATTTTTTTCCACACAAATAGAGCTTTCTTTTGGGAGTATTTAATCACCACTGGGTTTTTTATTTTTTGTACTAAAAAACAAAAAGAATAGCAAAACTTTTTAAGAAAAAAAATGTTTTTCTTTGTTAGTATTATAACATTTTGCAAACAGGTACATTTTTCTCTTTCACTGATGTACGTTGATGAGGTTGCACTGATGGGCAGTACTGATGGGCACTGATAGGCTGCACTGATGAGGCAGCAGTGGTGGGAATTGATGAGGAGGCACTGATGATGCTGCACTGATGGGCGCTGACTGGCGGCACTGATGGGTGGCACTGCTGGGCACTTTTGGAGCAGCACTGATAATCAGGGCACTTATAATTAGTATCCTGATTATAAGTGCAGATGTCCTCTGTCACACTTGCTGGTTATCGGCAGTACTTTCCTCACGCTGTGACAGCGTGAGGAAAGTGCTGCCAATAACCAGCAACTGTATTTACTTTGTGATGAGCTGTGTCATTGGACACAGCTGATCACGTGGCTAAAGGCTGCTGTAATTGGCCTTTTACCTTGTCATGTTATCAGCTGTGTCCGTAGGCTGGGGGGGCGTTCTGGGAAGCCATATGACGCCCTCCCCAGAACTGGACAACTGCGCTATATAGCCGTCTTTCAGCTATAGCGCAGTTGTAAAGTGGTTAAGTAATGAAAACATTATCACTGGAAAAAAACAGGCCCATAGCTGAAATATTAAAATTTCTCTGCATCATAAGGAGTATAAAGGTTTGAGAGCTGAAGTGGTTAAATAGACACTCATAAATTTGGCAAGGCTTTTCACTGACATAAAAATGCATGAATTTGTTTCTGAGCTTAAATTGGGAAGCTGAACAATTTTTAAATTGTATATATTTTTACATAATTTATTCCATCAAGTCTTCAAAAAGACAGCATAGGGATACAAAAGCAGTATGTTGACGCATTTCACATGAAATTGTGCTTTATCATAATGATATACAGTATATGGATAATGGATGTAATTACATATTACAACACAGATTACTACGTGTTTATATACGCCAAAGGGTTTGCTCAGCGCTTTGGTACAATAGGGGGGGGGCAATACGGATTAACAATAAGAGGGCCCTACTCTTACGAGCTTTACAATCTACGGACTTAGGCTTACAATCTAATACAACAATACGATTGGTCAGTGTACGGATTAACAATACCATTACAGTGTTCCTGTATAACAAATGTAACAAAATATTGAGGTTTGCTGTTCATTATTTCCATAAGTGTGAGTCATGTATGGTTCATTTGATCTATGTATTATGATGTATATTTTTAAGTCTATATATTGTCTTATTTTCTCTTGTTTTAGCCTTCTTCAGAGTTCAGATGAGGACGTTGCCACTGAAGTGAAAAACGGACTCAAAGGCCTTGTGGATAAAGCAGAAGACTCTAAAAACTCAAAGGCAATCAAGACCCTGATAGAAAGCTTAAATTCTCCCTAGATTTGGTGCTTCTTTCTGCTGTTTAGCTGAATAGTTGCCGGTGTAAAAGCTGTACACATGATGCTAATGACTGAAGAGAACTGCCAAAAAGTTTTATATTTATAAATAAAGCCTCCTTTATCTTTATGGTTTGGTGTTTCTTACCTTCTTGCAGCAGCTATACACAGCAGCTACATCCAGGGCTACACATCAGCAGGATTCCACCACATGAAATGTAACCCAGTTTATTTTGTGATAGGGAGTTGCACAATGGAGCTGATATAGGCATATGTTGCCTGCTAAGAATCAAATGGCTTCGCCTGGTGGAAGTCCAAAGTAAACAGTGTCAGCCCCAGCTTGGGTTTCTGCTATAGCAGGCAATTTAGCCGAAGGTGGATTTCTGCTCAAGTCGATCACTTTCACTATCACCCATCAAGTTTATTTGGAAATTATATATTGGACTTTACACACAGGAGTCTATTGTGGACTTTTACACCTTTTTTCACATTTATTTATGACGTGTTCGTTTTTTGCGCTTATGCTTCACTTATTCATTTATATTCCTTTTTGACATTTGTTTCACTGATGCTTATTTTTGCACTGGTATATCACATTTTTTTTTTAATTGATCAATATTATACCGGTTCATCCCTTGATTCCATATTTGTTCACATTATTTTTTCCCTTACCATATGCACGGTTCACTTGTATCACTTTGGCACATGTCTTGAGTTTAGGATGTGTTTTCCATTCATGTTTCACTTATGATCGTGCACTTGTGCTATTTGCGGTTCACATGTGTCACGTTTTTGTGTGGGTTATTTAATTTTTTCCCACCTTTCATAGTTTATTTAGATTTATTTGTCTCAGCACAGTACCATCCCCTTTCATTGCATCCTCACTATCTGGTTTTTAAACCATAGGATTAATATTAGAGTGGCATCGTGGAAGGTTTTTCTTTATCTTACATTTTGTTCATTTGCAGTTTCTTTCCTCTGGTAGCTCAGGCTGAGTGTCAGTTGACAGCCAATAAGCTTGGCCATATAGGCAGTTCAGCCTTAATGGTGGCTTTACAGTTAGAAGCTGGGCTAACAATCAGAGAATACAATTAAATAACAATTGCCAGTTTGCCATTGGAAAATGTTTATAGTCTTTTTTTTTTTTTTTCGCTCGCAGGGACCGTTTTATTTCCCAGAAGGGGATGCTTTCAAAAAACTATGAGAAATGCCAGTCTTGATATTTCTATTCTCTCTTCCAGTGGTCTCTTGAGAAAAAGCACACCTGATGCCACATTTGGTGTAGTAACATGAAATATCACTGAATGTACTGCTTAGCACATTTCCTTTTAGCTCATATTAGGCTTTGTGCACATTGGCAGCTCCTAAAGTTAGGAGCTTTTGGTGTTTTTTTTTTTTTTTCTTTTTGCAAAAGCTCCTAAATTCAACTAAAAGCCTTATGTGTCCATGTACACATAGGCTTTTAGCAGAGTTTAGGAGCTGCCGTGTTTAGGTTAGGTTAAACCTCCCACACCTGAATGCGGAAGTAATGCATTCAAGATAGGTTTTGACCACCGACAGCATCAAAATGTGGCAAAAAACTACCGCTTTCATGCTGCATATTGCTGCGGGCCACAGTCAGGGTAGGCTAGTGTACAGTGGGTATAAAAAAAAGAATCACCCCCTTTTAAAATAATCACATTTTGTTGCTTTTCAGCCTGAAATGAAGACACACCGGTTTTGTTTTTATCCAGCTGTATTTACTCAGTGCAACTTATAACATCCCAAGTGAAACATATAACACCAACGTGTCAGAAAAAGTTTTAATATTCAACAACAGAATTACTGAGTTGGAAAAAGGATCACCCCCTTGTATCAGTATTTTGTTAAACAACCTTTTGCTTTAATTACAGCCTTTTGTCTGTTAGGATGCATCTCTAATAACTTTGCACATCTAGGCTTTGCAATATTTGCCCACTCTTCTTTGCAGAACTTCTCAAGTTCACTTGAATTTGATTGTGATCATTTGTGGTCTTCAAGTCATTGCACAGATTTTCAATGGAGTTTAAGTCTGGGCTCCGACTAGGCCATGCAAGGACATTCACCTTTTTCTCCTCCAAGCACTGTGTGGTTGTTTTTGCTGTGTGCGTTTGGTCATTGTCATGTTGGAAGGTAAACCTTCTTCCCATTGACAACTTTCTGGTAGAGTGCAGCAGATTTTCCTCAAGAATTTGATGGTATTTTGCCCATCCATCCATTTTTCCTTCTATACTAAAAAGTGCTCCAGTTCCTGCTGCAGAGAAACCCCCGTAACAGGATATTACTCCCTGCATGCTTTACTGTAGGAATGGTATTATTTGCATGGTGAGCTGTATTAGATTTCTGCCAGACATATCGTTTATTGTTGAGACCAAATAATTCAATTTTAGTCCCATCTGAGTATAATACCTTTTTCCATGTGGCCTCAGAATCTTCATGGTGCATTTTGGCAAAGCTCAATTGTAGCTGCATGTGGCCTTTCTTGAGGAGACTTTTTTTTTTTTTTTTTTTTGCAACCTTCCCATACAAGCCACATCTGTCTCTTGGTAGCCTCTCTGACCGGTTTCCTCCTGGCTCTTTCATCCAGTTTGGAGAGATCACTTGATCCAGGGAGGGTCTGTGTTATACCAAATACCTTCCACTTCTTGATAATAGACTTCCCTGTGCATCTAGGCATTAATAAAGCCTTTGAAATTTTTTTGTATCCATCTCCTGACTTGTGCCTGCACACAACTCTATTATTCTGGAGATCTTTTGACAGTGCCTTGCCATCCATAGTTGATTGTTTGCTTCAGCTGAACTATCCGGGACTGAAATGCTCCAGAAAATCTTTTTTCTTGCTGAGCTAATCATAATTACCACAGCTGATGATAGTTGAAAGACAAATGACTTGTTGTGCCATTGAGAAGATGATTAGCTACATGTGATTGAGTTTACAAGTCATTTTTTTTTGGGGGGGGGGGGTTCCAACCCAGCAATTCTGTGTTTGATTTTTTTTTTCTCTGACATGTTGGTGTTATCTTTTTTCGCTTGGATGTTATAAGTTGCATGAATAAATACAGCTAGTTAAAATAAAAGCTGTCTGTCCTCATTGCAGGCTGCAAAGCAACAAAATGTGGTTATTTTAAGCCCTTCACGCCAGCGCCTCCCAGCCCTTTAAGGGTTTCAGAAGTGGGGGGGTGGGGTTTAGAGTCATGTGACGCGACGTCACGGTGGTCACATGATCGGGAAAGGTCCTGATCAAAAGAGATCGGGACCTTTCCGTGAGTACTGGGCATGTGCGCTGGGAGTGCGCAGGGCGCGCGCTCTCAGCACATATGTCCTTTTGTAATAGAACGCAAATGTGCGACCGCTCGGCGTCTAGGCCCAGATGCCGGGAGGCCACACATTTGTGTTCGGCCCGGCATGAAGAGGTTAAAGAGGGGTTATTATTTTCTATACTTACCGTACATGTAGCCTACTGTTCTTTCAAGCCAGTTATGGCATGATAAACACATTGTGCACACACTGTCTGCATTTGGAAATACCATATGTCTTCTATGCTTCTAATGTTGCTTTTCTTTATATTGCATTGTAAAGTACATAATACTGTAATAAAGAAAGACGCTATCTAAAGCGTGACAGCTCAGTATACAGATTTAAAACCTCTGTTTAGCCACAATTTATTGGTGCAGCAGATAAGCAATCATAGAAAACCATCAGCACTGCTGAAATGGACACGTCACACGCAGTGCATTAAAATAATCAATCATTTAAACTCTGGGATGTAATTGAGACATCAGCTGCATTGAAATTTGGTGAACTAGATGTCTGCATTTGCATAAATACTACCACTTATATGCAATGTATATATTTAAAGCAGATGTTTGCATAATTGTTTTTCTTTATTCTTTGAGAGTTAAACTGTAGAACTGCATACATATATTTCTGGTAACAAGAAAGATTTACTATATGGCTATGTTCATACAGGCGTACTTAAGCCTACATCTGTGCAAGGGCCTTGTTTGCCCATATGGGATGCACAGGTGCTTTGTGCATCTGCATGCAGTTCCCATTCATGTATATTGGGATGCTGCACAGACACAGCCACTGCTCCTACTTTGACCTTCGTGTTGGTGTGGATGCATGTCCCCAGACATTGACAATGTGAGTTCAGTGATACACACCCACACAGATGTCAGATTGGAAGCAGCAGCTGCACAGACACAGCCACTGCTTCCAATCTGACATCTGTGTGGGTGCGAATCCCTGAACTCATAGGGGTTTATTTACTAAAGCTGGAGAGTCCAAAATCAGACTCCCTTCTGCATAGAAACCAATCAGCTTCTAACCTCAGCTTGTTCAATGAAGCTTTGGCAATGAAACCTGGAAGCCGATTGGTTTTCTATGCAGAAGGGAGTCTGATTTTGGACTCTCCAGCTTTAGTAAATAGACCCCATACTGTCTACGTTTTGAGGACATGCATCTGCACCAACACGGAGGTCAAATGATGGGCATAAATGGGACTGCCTGCACACAAATGTATGGAAACACCTGTGCATCCCATGCTGGAAAACATGGCCCTTCACTTGAATGTGTGTACAAGGCCCTACTGGTAATTACCATAACAGACCGGCGCTGCTGCAAGCCTACAATATCAATCTCCCAGGTTTAAAATCTGTATTCAGAGACATGTCGCTCCAAGAGATAATATAGCATATGGGCCCTATTGGTCACACAACCATTAAACATGGCTTGTATAGCACCCCTCTCAGTTATCAGTCATTTTAGCTACATGTCAAAAGAAGAGGACTTGCTCATTTTCTGACTGATCAGGGTAAGAAACAGATATTTTATACATAGCAGAATGGGGAATGTCACTGATTGGAGAAGATGAACTGCCTCCCTTTCTGTTGAATATCAAAATTGAAGAAAGAAGCAGCTAAGAATAATTTAAAAAAACACTACCCTCAGTGGCCACTTTATTAGGCTCTCTCCTTCCATCCT